ATGGAGGCAATCCTACAGCGGCCAGGGAAACCACCGCCGCTGCAGGCGGACGCCCCCGCAGCAGCGGGGGCGTCAGCAGCGGAGGGCCAAAGCAGCAGCAGCGGTGGGCCTTTTGTCGCCCCCGCAGCAGCGATGGCGACAGCAAGAGGAAGTCGTGCTGCGAGTGTTGGCGATTGCCAACAGCTCCAGAATCGACCAGAGCACGAATACTTGACCCTGCGCGGGCGTGAGGACAAGTCCTTGTGCATCGCTGCGCGCGCAAATCTGTGCCACGGAATGCGGCTGCTCCACCGGGAAAGGAGTGTCGACGGCCACTGCAAAAGGGAACAAGATGGAAGCGTTCTCGAGGATCATGGTGGTTGAGGTCTACTTCGATCAAACCTACGCCCACTTCGGCTCGAAAGTGCGGGTGTGCGCGGTGCACCTCCACCGCGACACGGCGAAAGCTTCCAAAGGCTTTAAGGAGGCTCACAAGACGTGGTGGCGGAGGCTGGCGGCCATCTTGCAGGAGAACAACGTTGACATCCTTTGTGGGGATTTCAACATGGCGCTCACACAGACGCTGCCGAGTCTTCGGGGTCTAGGCTTGCGATTGGAGACGGCAGCAGCGTACTTCTGGCGCGGATTGGACGGCGCTCCGTGCTTGGACAGCTGCGGCATCTTCGTTCTCAACAGGCCTGGCGAGTACACCCTGCGCTGGCCGCTGAGCGCCGTGCGCGACAGAGACGAGGCGGGGTTGCTCTTCGCACGCAAGTCGGTGATCGGTGAGATCGGGCACCGCAACAGAAGCAAGGCAGAGGCCCCCGCAGCAGCGGGGGCCTCCACCAGCCCATCATCGGAGCCGACGTACTGGCACCACTGCCAGGAAGGAGGCCCTGGGATGCCTTACGATCGCTACTACCCGAAAAAAGACGCCCGCGAGCACCTCCAGGATTTACTGACTCATTCAGAGGAGTGCCAACGCAAGATCCAAGAGAAGGAGCGTGAGAAACTGAGGCGCGCCGAGGCTGAGGCTAGAGGGGACCACCGCTTCTCTAGTAATCGCGAGGTGACCCTCTTCCGCGCGTTGCAGAAGACGTTCCCGCCGGAGAGCGTGGAGGTGGAGGGGCGCTGGCACGGCGGCGCCCACTACCCTCTCCTGTTCCAAATGCGCATGGCCAGCTCGCGTTCGCAGGGGGGGAAGCAGGGGAGAAACAGAGAGAAGAAGGACAGGCGCGCCCAGAAGCAGCAAGCAGCTGCGCTCCAGGGCGCCGCAGCAGTGGCGCCCGAGCAGCACGGGCCCGAGCGCCAGGCACCAGAGCAGCACCGCGAGAGGGGCGAGCAAGACGAGCGCGCCCAACAGGCGTGGCGCCCGCCAAGATGGGCAGGCGAAAACGCGGACGACGGCCGCGACTGGCCCGCGGCTGGCGATGGAAGGTCGCGGCGGGGGGTTGAAAGGGGGAGGGAGGGAGAGGGAGGGCGGAGCACGGGGATGGCAGGAGGGAGGAGAGGGAATGAGGAAGAGGCTGAGCAGGACGAGGGATGACATAAGGAAATGAGTGTCGGGAAGGGGCGGGAGTGGACAGGAAGGGGATAATGATAGAAATAGTTACTTATCACCCCCAAGGTGGCAGCCGGCCCCGCAGTGGCCATCTCCAGGGCCTGCGCCGCTGGAGCAGCGAGGGCAAGGGTTGCAAGAGCAGCAGCCGCGGGAGGCGCCGCGGCATCAGCCGCCAGAGCCCCCGCAGCAGCGGAGGCCACAGACGCCATGGCAGCAACCAACAGACGGGGAGTGGCGCAGGGACGAGTGGTGGCGCACCAGGGAGGGCGAGGAGCGCGAGTGGCAACAGCCGAGCGGCGAGGCTTCTTCGCTGCAGGACCGCAGGGTCGACTCCGCCTGGCGCGACATGCAGGTTGCATTCGGCAGCGACCAACGCCCCAGTGACTGGTGGAGCAGCCACAGTGGGTGGAGTAGCGGCCAGGGGCACTGGGAGGCCACGACTTGGAGGTGGGTCGAACCCCCCCCCGAAACCAATCCCTGGGAAAAACTTAGCTGAACCATCGCACAGGAGCCGCCCCTCCGCAGCAGCGGAGGGAGGCCTCATCGGCCGAACGTCGACCCTCCGCAGCAGCGGAGGCCTGGCCAATGCATCGTGAGCGGCGGCGACTCGCGCGCGCCGTCGTGCTCGGCGACCGCTGCCCGAGCGGAGAAGGAAAAAGAAACGGTGCTTTCATCGGTGCTGTCGTTGCCTCCTCTCCTTCATCGTTTTCTTCTCCCTCCCCCTCCAATCCCCCATCCCGCTATCACATTTTATCGTCTCCAATCGTATCGGGAGCTCCCGTGGCAGAAGAGCACCCAGAACGAGGTCCTCCGTGACAGAGGGGGGGGGGGGCATCTCAGACCCCCTCTGTGACAGAGGGGGGGCACATTTGACCCCCTCTGTGACAGAGGGGGGGCCAAAAAACAAATGATCACTTTAATGCGGCTTCTGGATTAATGCGGTGTCAGGAGAGGGGGGGAGAGAAGGCAGGATGAGGAGGGAGGAGGGAGGAGGGACAATGAGGGGAAGGGAGGGAGGATGGAGGAGGCGAGGGGGAGGCGAAGGAGGCGAGGAGGAGGAAGAGGAGGAGGAGGAAAAGGAAGAGGAGGAAAAGGGAGGGGGGGAGGAAGGGGGATGATAGCTGGATCAGAGCTGGCGGCATGGACCTGCTACCGCGGGTTCCCTGGCCATTTTTGGCCGTCCCCGAGTCGAAACCAGGGAGCCTACACACTGCCCAGGAGGTGTCCTCACATGGGCCTGATCGTGGTGGGGTGATTACGATTCAACCTACCTCCGATCACTCTGTTGGCCCCAGGGTGACATTGGGACAACAGGCCCGTCTCCCTGTCACAGGCGTAGCTGGCACACCTGCGATGGAAAACTTTTTTTGCGGAGTGTTAGTATGTGCCCAGCCGCCCTCGCTTTGGCGACCCTGACGGCCCCCCAGTCCAGAGCGGCCCGAGAAGGGAGAGGGTCCATCGGGGGTCCAGGCGGGGGGGCTCGGGGGCCCCCTCTTCCTCTCCCTCTGGCGTCGATGTTCTGCGTTCACTGGGGCCCTGGGAATGGCCCGTAGCACGTTTACACCACATCATAGTTGTCGTCGATGTTCTAGAAGCCCCAGCCCCCGCGCTTCAGCCTCCTATAGTCGCCGAGCTGCAGGGCGCCGTCGGTGTAGATGTCGCCCGTGGTCAGGCCCACCCAGTCGTCCTCGGTGAGGAACTCGTTGCGCGATGGCAGCTGCCATAGGTTGAGCTTATCGGCAGGGTCGCTGCTGATGCCTCGACCCCACAAGCCCTCAGCCCCTGGCCCAGACCAAGGTTACTCTTCTCGTTGAACGATGTGCCTCGCACTCGCTCGTTCTCGATGCTCGTGACTGGCTGGACATAGAAAGTTCTGTTGCCTGTCAGTGCCCGGTGCCGGCCCTTCCGTTCTGCAAACGTTATTTGGCGCAGCCTTCTTCGCGTGTACGCGCGCGTGGGGCCACATGCCTCCACAGAAAAGGTTGCGCACCCACGTGCGGTGGGCTTGACTCCACCGCCCTTTGATCGGTCTCCTCAACAGCGCTTTGACTGGCTTAGTGAAGATGGATGTGATGCCATAGGTCGCTCCCCGCCGATGTAACCATCGCTCGTTCAGCTGCCGCTCCATGGGGACTCGCACGTGGTAGCACAGCTCTTGAAACAATATGTGGCGCAGGTCGTACACCATGCCGTTGATCGTGATATTATGTGCTGTTTGCGTCAAGCCGAGGCGCCGCACCGTGGCCACGAAGGCTCTTGTTGGCTCTCGCACGATGAGCCACGGAGACCTGCTCTTTGGCCACCTTCATCACCCACGTGCGCCACGCGAGGTGCAGCCGCTCTACTAGTTGCTCGCCCGCGTGCGCCTACTGCCACGCCGTCGACCAGGCAATGATGGGCCCGCTGTTCACGAGGCTCCCTGGGTCTACTTCGTCGCTCAGCAAGGTCAGGGAAGAGGACCTGCCGCTGCTGCTGCCTGGCATGGCGCTGGCCACGCTCGTCTGCAGCCCGTGGATCCTGGAGCCGGTCATGCCCACAGGCGCGGTGCTGTAAAGCAGTGCGGGCATTCTCGCGTGCCTTCAACAGTTTTTGCGAGGCGCCTTCTGCTCTCCGCACTGCCTTGATTCGCGATGTCTTCGCCGCAAACATCAGCGTTCGCTCGTTGGTGGCCGAGGCCCTTCTGCGCATGCCCGCCGCCGATCTTACCCCGACATAGTTTACGTGTTGGACCACTCGGACGCCCAGGTGTTGCGAGTTGGTGTCGATGCTGGTGCCCAGCGTGGTGGTGGAGGTCGGGGCGACCGTTTTGCCCCTCCACGCCGCGCGTGGCCCACATGTCCAGCCTCTCTTCGGACGCGTGGATCCTCGGTGCGAAGAGCAGCGGGTGGAAGTATTGAGCGGTCTCGCGTGTGCCAGGCGGGGGCAGGTGTCTGACCATGGAAATTGTGACCAGCTCGTCCAGCTCGAACAACATCGCCATCTTGAGGCAGAAGGGTGCGTAGCAACTGCCCGCCACTACCCCCCGCTGCAAGGCCACGCTATCCGTGTAGCACCCGTCAACGAGAATGCGCCGCACCATGCCGGAGACCCCCGGGACGACGCGCTGTCTCCTCGACCCCCTTTGGAGCCCTGGGTCGTGGATCCCTCTTCAATCTTCTCTTCTCTTGTGTCGGTCTTGCTGTTCCATAGCCTTTGGCTTATGAGCTCGCAGACGCGAGGCTGCGCCCTCCCCCCGTATTCAAGCCTCGTCTTGGCCCGAAAGCGCGTGATCCTGGGGAGAGGACAAGGAAGAAGGGGAGGACGAGGAGGAGGAGGAGGAGGAGCAGGAAGACGAGGAGGAGGAGGAGGAAGAGGAGGGGGAACAGGGGGGAGGAAGAGAAGGAGGACCACGACGAGGAGGAGGAGGAGGAGGAGGAGGAGGAGGAAGAGGACGAGGAATATCAAGGAGAGGGAGGACCAGGAAAGAATAGGCGCACGGCAGCACCGCGAGCGCGCCGAGGCCGCCGCCCAGCGAGCGCCCCGCGCGCGCCTGCAGCACAGCGCGCCTCCTCTGCGAGGGCGGCGCTGAGCTTGAGGCGGCGCTGCGGCGCGGGGCCCTCGCCGCGAAACGGGCAAACCCCGCCTCCAGGAGCTCGAGAGAGAAAGGTCCGCACTTGCAGGTCAGGGGCAACTCCAGGGCGCAACGTGGAGTTCGAATCCCCATCACAGGGGCAACGTTAGGTGGGGGATGCGGATGCATCGGCAGTTCTGGTTTGAAGTTCAAAACTTCTGGCGTTTCCAATCTTTTCGTGACAGTTTTCAGCCGCGGGGTGTCTTCAGCGGCTGCGCCTCGCCGGGGGCATTCCGAGGGGTGCCCGGATCGTCCCGAACGGCCGCCGTAGAGTCGAGCTGTGATCCGAAAGCCAGGAGACAATGTCAGGGGGATAGCCTCATGGGGGGACGCATCGAGCCCAAAATTTCCTATTGATCGCCGATGGGGGCCCAGTAAGCTCACCCCGCCCAGGAGCTTGTGGATTCTGCATGTTCTGGCGGGGGCCCATCGGCGATGCATCGCCGATCCCAGGTCGATGGTTCACCCTCTTAGCTGGTCCCCCTAACGTTGCCCCTCTCGTTCGTCTCACACGTTCCTAGCAGCGCCGTGCCGCGCCGCCTCTGCCGCGCGGGCGGCCTCGATCAGCCCTGTGCGGCCGACAGTGTATGTTGAGGGTGATGCCGTTGGTGGCCAAGCCGCGGTGTGTTCCGAAGTGTTTTGAGCGCGGCTGCCAACATCAGCAACATCATCATCGTCGTCAGTCGTCAGCAACAGCATCAGCTGCATCAGCAGCATCAGCACTACCACCACCACCAGCCACTACCATCATCATCATCATCATCATCATCATCATCATCATCAGCAGCAGCGACAGCTTCATACCCTCATCATTAGCAGCATCAACATCATCATCAGCAGCAACAACAGCATCATCAAATTCCTCATCATGAGCATCATCATCTACTTCATCCTCATCCTCAGTACTGGCATCACCAACACCATCATCAGCATCACCATCATCAGCATCAGCATCATCATCAGCATCATCAGCATCAGCATCATCATCAGCATCATCATCAGCATCATCATCGTTAGCAGCATCATCATCATCAGTGCCACCACCACAACTTCCATCGTCATCAACAAGATCAGCATCACCTCATCATCACCATTCCCCCCTCTCCCCTCTTCTCCTCGACGCCCCGCGGTTGCCCTTCAGCATGTGCCTGCGTAGCTGCCCCTCTCCCCCCTCGCGCTTTGTTCTCTTCCGCCCGTGCCTCGATTCGCTCCCAGTGCACCCCACCGCTTGCTTGACTGGCGCCTGACTGTCTCGGACCTCTTGGCGCCCGCGGACTCAAAGGGTGCTCGCGCCGCTCGTTCTGCTCCTCCCGTGCCACCAGGAGGCCGCCCCCGTGCCTGCCCGCCCTGCCGCCGGGCGCAAGCGCGCGGCTGGCGGAGTGGGCCTCCGCGGCCGAGGCGCTCGCGGATGCCGCGCCCAGGGGCAGGAGCCCAGGGCTTCCGAAATGAGGCGGAAGTATCCTCTGAAGCTTGCACGTGAAGGAGTTAAGCTCGTCCTTCCCATCCTCGTCCTTCCCCGCATCTTCATTCTCATCCTCATCATCATCAGCGATTCTCCCTTCCCTCGATCATCAGCGGTGGCCGCCGCGGGGGGGGGAAACTTATGTTTCCTTGTATGGTTCGAGTCCGAATCCGTCAATGGGCCCGCGCTATGCTCCCAATATTGGGAGTGTGATCGAGAACTTCAGAGGTTCTTCGGCCATCCAATGTGTGTTCAAGTGGTTTGGGAAGTTTCTGGGATGCTTCAAGTCCCCTGGTGGTTTCCATCGGCTGCGCTTCGTCGATGGCGTCACGGGGTTGCCTGGATCGTTTCAGACGGCCGCCAGATGCTCGAGTTATGATGCAAAAGCTGGAGGACGAGCGGGTCCGAGTAGGTGAGCCCGCGGCGTCTAGGCTTCCCAAAAAGGGGCTCCGAGCAGCTCTCGCGAGGTCTCCTCCTGGGCGCACCCGAAGATGGGGGCCTCCCAGAGGACTCTGCCCTCCTGCCTCCCAGGCCTACTGGCTCGGGATGCGTTCCAGCAGCTGCGCCTTGCCGAGAGCGTTCCAGTGGTGCACAGATTGTCCCGAGCATCCTCTGGAGACCCGAGCACACATCCCCTGGGATCGGAGGGCCGCGCCGCATCGCCAGTGTATCGGCGATGTGGCTCGATGTGAAGCTCGATCTTCTCCACGCCAACGTGGCCAGCGATGAATCGGCGAAGCAGCGCGGTTGGTAAGGCTTCGGGTTGCGCACAGACAGGTAGTCCCAGCTGGCCTCGACAGGCCCCCCTGAAGTGGTCCTGGGCGGTCTCAAGACCTCAACCTTGGCGAGGAGCGCCCCCCAGGGGCGCCGCCAGAGGCGGCGCCAGCGTGTTGAGGCCGCCCCAGCCGTTGCGGGGGGTCTGTGGAGGCCTCTGGGGACCACATGGTGGAGTTGCGGGCGCACCCAGAGGCCTTACCAGGCGCAGCCCGCCGACCTCGTCTGCCTAGATCTGATTTGGGAGGCCTCCGAGGAGGGCCTACACGCTCTCGGTGCCCCTGCTCGTGGCGAGCCAGCTGGGGCTGCAGGAGGATCGGCGGAGTGGAAAGATCTCGATGCGGCCTGGTTTGCCTCGACGTCTTGGTCAGAACGCTCCCCAGGAGAGGTCTGGGGAGTGGCGGTACCGGTGTCTTGTTGGTCCTCCCAGATCGCCATGATGAGGGCGGATCCTGAGGGAAGCGCGTCCCAAGGTTTTCCATTTTTCCGAACCCCCTAAAGCCCCACGGGTCCCAGGACTGTCAAAAAACAACTCAGGGCGAAAAGCTGGTCTAGGGGGAGAGCCCCGGGGTCCAGGATTTTTTTCCTCCAGGACGCAGGGCCCGCTTGTACCCTGCCAAGAGGAGTCTGGGGACCTGGGCACGAGGGTGATCGGCGCTCTCGACGAGGAGTTCCTCGCCGGCGAGGTCTCCCTCTCGTTCCGAGCGTGGATGCTGGGGCGGTTGCTGCTGGCCAGCCGGCAGTGCTCCGACGTGGCGGCCGAGGCGATCTTCGAGAAGTATTTGCGGGAGGTGCTGGACGAGGTTGTGGCCAGTCGCCTCAGGGCGGGCCTGGAGCCAGAGGAGGTGGCCGACCCGTGCGAGGCCTGGGCGTGGTCATATCCAGGCAGGCCTATAGGCCGTGCCCGCCTGCCCTTGCCGTCGGCTGCCTGCAGGCCTGAGATCGGAGGAGCATAGAGGGCACGATAATGATATGTTTCAAGTCGGGGATCGGCTACAGAATTGATTTGCCCCAGAGTTGATGTTTGTTGTCCAATCCAAGGGATATTCGTAGAGCGTTCGCAGATCTACGAATGGTTGACGTATTTTTGTTGGAGGGTCGACGTGAAAATCAACTTTGGGGTAAATCAATTCTGTAGTCGCCCGGATTCCCTAACAGTAACTGTCCCACACACGCTGCAGAAACGAGGGCCGCTAGGTACCCTGTGAATCTTGGAGCGTAGCCTGAGCCGACGTGTTCATGAGATTGAGCTCGCCCTGTTGGAGCGGCTCGAGCACCCCATCCACCGTCCACCCTCACCTTATCCTTTGCCTCCTGACCCCTCCTGCTCTTCAATCGGCGCGAGCGGGATGGGTACGGAAAGAGTGCGGACGAAAACCGACATTAGTTCTTATCCACTCGGATAATGACCTGGCGCTGAGGTCGCCGCGAGCGATGTCCAGTCGAGACAAACATCGCCCGCCCAACAGCGGCCGCTGTCGGTTTAGCTCAACACTCGTCGTTGGAGTTCGTACCCAGTTCAGGCGTGCCGATTCTTCTTCTTCCCTCACCGGCTCCTCCTGCTGCCCGATGTCGCTCCCGGTGGTGGCGGCGGCACTGCCGCATGAGGAGAGGCACCATGGCCGACAAGGCAGAGACAAATCCAGCCGCAGCAATCCGGCGGCATGCTGCGGGGGGAAGTCAGAGGGGGCAGGCCTTCTAAGAGGGCGGCGGGGCTTCTCTGACACACCCCCAGCCTTCAAGGGAAAGCCATCCTTAGCTTTGGAAAAGGCTTGGGCAACTTCTTGGAAGGCCAGAGGCCTTTTGAGCCTTCTGAGAAGGCCCACCCCTTTAGCCTTGCCCCCTTGGGCGCGCTCTTACGAGCCCCGAGCTAAGATTAGCCTGGCGAAGGACCCAACCATATGCAGTTGTGAGTACCGTTGTTGTATGCACCGCATCCGGAGGAGCTCCGCATAGGGCCACGAAACGTGTGAGGGGTGTGCCAAAATTTGTCCGGTGGGCGCAGGCGAAAGCAGCCTTTGGGGCCGTTGGTGGAATTCCCTATGGGGCCACGAAGCGCGTGAGGGGTGTGCCGAAATAGGTGCGTTGGGCGCATGCGAACGCAGCTATTGGGGCCGTCTGTGGAGCACCCTATGGTACCGCGAAGCGTGTAATGGTTGTGCCGAAATGGGTGCGGTGGGCGCATGCGAACGCAGCCACTGGCGCCTTCGGTGGAGCCCCGGTGGGGCCACAAAACGTGTGACGGGTGTGCCATAATGGGCGTGGGTGCGGGCGGTGCCTCTGGGGCCTTCGGTGGAGCTCCCTGCGGGGCCACGAAACGTGCGAGGGGTGTGCCGACATGGGTGTGCGTGACGCATGCGGGCGGTGCCTCTGGGGCCTTCGGTGGAGCTCCCTGTGGGACCACGAAACGTGTGAGGGGTGTGCCAAAGCAAGGGGGGTGACGGGAGGAGGGAGGAGGGGGGGGGCAGGAGGAAGGAAGGAAGGAAGGAGGAACGCGGGGACCGTCGCTTCAAAACGAGGGCCCAACACCACAGGATGGTTGGGGAAAAAACAGGAGGTACATGATCAAGCCTGCGGAATTCTCGGGAAGTCAACCCGTGGCCCAGAGGTTCCGACCCCTTCCCCAGTGTATCTTGTTTGTCCTGGACTCATTTTCTGTAGCCCAGAAGCCCGATATCGGGCCCCAGAAGCCGGAATCGAAGAAATCACCATGATTCGAAAATTATTCCGACGGAAGGACCCCACATGATCATCTGTTTAGCGTGCCCTTATCCCTGGCCATGGCAAACACCCTCCTCTCGCCCCCCCTCTGCCCTCTTTCCTTCCTTCTTCTAATTCTCCCCCTCCGCCTCCTTCAACTCCTCCTCCTCCTTCTCCACCTCCTCCTCATCATCGCCCTCCCCCTACCCCTTCCCCCCTCCTCGCCTTCCTCCTGCCGCTTCTCTATGTGCACCTCCAGCCCGGAGACGGGGGGTTTACCCCTGCCCTCGATTCGGACGACGATGGGTTACCACCGCCAGCCCAGAGACACAGGGTTACCCCTGCCCCCGATTCGGCCGCCGATGGGTTACCACCGCCAGCCCGGAGACAAGGGGTTACCCCTGCCCCCGATTCGGCCGCCGATGGGTTACCACAGCCAGCTCGGAGACAAGGGGTTACCCCTGCCCCCGATTCGGCCGACGACGGGTTACCACCGCCAGCCCGGAGACAAGGGGTTACCCCTGCCCCCGATTCGGCCGAGGATGGGTTACCAACCCCCAGCCCGGACGCAAGGGGCTACCCCTGCCCCCGATTCGGCCGACGATGGGTCACCACCGCCAGCCCGGAGACAAGGGGCGACCCCTGCCCCCGATTCGGCCGAGGATGGGTTTCCACTCCTGGCCCGGACGCAAAGGGTTTCCCCCCGTGCGCCCGATTCGGCCGAGGATGGGTTACCACCGCCAGCCCGGAGACAACGGGTCACCCCTGCCCCCGATTCGGCCGACGACGGTTTACCACCGCCAGCCCGGAGACAAGGGGCTACCCCTGCCCCCGATTCGGCCGACGATGGGTCACCACCGCCAGCCCGGAGACAAGGGGCTACCCTTGCCCCCGATTCGGCCGAGGATAGGTTACCAACCCCCAGCCCGGACGCAAGGGGCTACTCCTGCGCCCGATTCGGCCGCCGATGGGTTACCACCGGCGGCCCGGAGACAAGGGGTTACCCCTGCCCCCGATTCGGCCGAGGATGGGTTTCCACCCCCGGCCCGGAGACGAGGGGCTACCCCTGCGCCGGGCCGCTGTCTCGTCGTCGTCGTCGTCGTCGTCGTCGTCGTCGTCGTCGTCGTCGTCGTCGTCGTCAGCATTTCATTTTAACTTTTGGCCCGAAAGGCGGGAGCCATAGGGAGGGGGCTCCCTCTTGAGATTTCCTCACAATTCACTCACAGACGAGGCTCCCGCTTGATACGTCCCCAAAGCTCAGACCTGAGGAGCCCAAAAATGACGACACTTACGCGTTTCGGATGACCCGGTCGGATTGCCGACGTGAAATGCGGGACCCATAGGAAAAGGGTTCCCGCCTGAGACGTCCTCACAATGCACTCGCAGACGAGGCTCCCGCTTGATACTTTTCCAAAATTCAAGCCTGAGGGGCCCAAAAGTGCCGACAGTTACACGTTTCGGATGACCCGCTCGGATTACCAACGCGAAATGCGGGACCCATAGGAAGGGGGCTTCCGCCTGAGACTTCCTCGCAACTCACTCACAGACGAGGCTCCCGCTTTATGTTTTTTTCTCCAAATTCAGGCCTGAGGAACCCAAACTTGACGACAGTTACACGTTTCGGATGACCCGCTCGGATTACCAACATGAAGCGGGACCCATAAGAAAGGGGTTCCCGCCTGATACTTCTTCACAATTCACTCAGTGACGCAGCTCCCGTTTGATACTTCCCCCAAATTCAGGCCTGAGGAGCCCAAATGTGACGACGGTTATTCGTTTCGGATGACCCGCTCGGATTACCAACGTGAAGTGCGGGACCCATAGGGAGGGGGCTTTTGCTTGAGACATCCTCACAATTCACTCACAGACGAAGCTCCCGCTTGAGACTTCATCCATTTCGAAGCTCGGGGGTGAGTGATGACGAAGTGATTAGTGAGTGAGTGAGCGAGTGAGTGGACGAGTGAGTGAGTTAGTGAGTGAGTGCTGATGATGATGATGATGATGGTCATGATGGTGATGATGAGTGAGTAGGTGATCGAATGACGATGATGGTGACCATGATGAGGATGATGACGATGATGATGATGATGATGATGATGATGATGATGATGATGATGATGAGTGGTGATGATGATGAGGGTGATGATGATGAGGGTGATGATGATGATGAATGAATGTGATAATGATGGTGATTGATCGAGTGATGATGATGTTGTTGATGATGAGGATGATAATGGTGTGAGTGTGGATGATTGTGATGATTATGATGATGGTGGCGATGATGAGGATGGATGATGATGATGATGATGATGATGATGATGATGATGATGAGGATGAGTGACGATGAGTGGTAATGATGATGATAATGATGATGGTGAGTGCAGGGGAGAGGGGTGGGAGGTGACGTGATGTGAGGTTCCTGCGCGAGGTGTCCAGAGAAAACAAGAAACCCACTTTGGATGTGGGGAAAGACACCGTCAGAGGTTTCGGACAGGCGGGGCCGCTCGCGGTAGGTTCAGAGGGGGGATGCATCAACCCCCAATCGCCCAGGGATCGCCGATCGGGGCCCGATTGTTCACCCTTCCCACGAGCGTGCGGTTTCGCTAGTTATCGAGGGGCCTATCGCCGACCTACGGCGATGCATCGCCGATTCCAATTATACGTTTTCAGGTGATGTTTTATGTGGGAGGTTCTCGTTGATTGCCGTGATAAAGGTTTTGCTGTCGGGTGTTCCCAGGTTGCCTGGCCGGTGCCGGGGGGCATGGTTGTGGTAAGATCGAATGCCGTTTGCAGGTCCCGCGCGTCGAGACATTCTCGAAACCTTAAGTTGAGCCTGCCCGTTTCGGTTGAGACATTCTTCCAAGTCCGTATTCCGAGATGACCAGATCTGAGATGGTTTGGCCCTTTTCGCTTGAGACATCCTCGCAACTCTGTGTGCCCAGATGTCGCGCGAGAGGTGGTCCAGACTATTTCGCCTGAAATATCCTGGAGACTTTGTGTTCGGAGATGCAGTGACCTGAGGTGGCCCCGCCCGTTTCGCATGAGACATCCTCGCAACTCTTGGCTTGGAGATGCCGCCAGCGAGGCGATCCGGCCACATTCGCCTGGGACACCCTCGCAATTCTGGGTACAACGATACCGAGCGCGAGGTGGTCCGGGCACCTGCTGAGGAGTGCGAAGAAAAAGAGGAGGAAGTG